GGGGGCGGGGGGGGGCCTCGCTGGGTCCCTGCACCTTTGGAAAGAGACACAGAGAAGAAACGCGGAGACTCAGGCGCTGGCTGCGCTGAGGGCCCGGAGCCTCCCGGATGGTGTCAGTTACTCTTGCGGGGACAGGGACCGTTTATGCCAACGCATACCAGGCGGGAAAGTGTGTCAAATCTTCAGCACGGCTGTTGTTATTCCAAGAGTCATGACACTTCGCAGCTTACACAAAGCATAAAACATCTTTACGGGCTCAGCCTGATTTCACTCTAGATGAAAGCCTTCTGTGCTCGCCTCCCCAGGGCCTGAGACCAAGCATGCACACGCCCGGAGTGCACAGGCTCTCTGGACTCCGTGCCCCTGGGATCACAGCAAGATAATGCAGCTTATGCATGCACAGTCGTCCTTAAGAGGGGAACCGACCCTAAATCTCTGCCGGGTTGTGTGATAGCCGATTGCAGGAGGAGGCTAGTTCCCATTCAGAGAGGCCAGACGAAGCGCCCGGTTGGGTGGGTGTGGTGGCCATATAATCTGTAACAAGATCAGGCCGTGAAAAAGAGGATGTTTCCTGGTTTGTGAGTATCTTTGTAGAAAACGTCTTACAGAATTTTATGACGGTTTGCCTTCAGCTATGTGTTCAGAAATCATATTTATTGAAAAATCTTGAGCAGAAATTAGAATTATTTTAGAAAACCATTAGGAGTGAAAACTACAATTTATGGAGCACCTATTATGTGCCAGAAATTGTGGTCAGGGCATGAACTCAAAGGATTCGCTTGAGAAAAACTTGTGAGTTAGATGCCCATGTTACAGAAGGGGGAATAAAGGCTGAGAAACCTGCCTAGTCTCCCAGCTAGTCAGTGGCGAAGCTGAGACCATGAAGCCAGGTGGTCTAATGCTATAACTCTCCTATATTCTAAAATCCCAGCCTTGTCCTCTGATTTCATTTTCAGCCCATCTTGACCTTAAGAAGATGCCATGAAATATGGCTTTTAGACTAGTCATTCCTCTGGACAAATTTGTGCTGGTAGAGGCGGAAGCTAACCCACACAGCACTCACTTTCAGTATTTTGGCTGGATCATAACACAGTTCTAAATTAATTTATAATTTGTACGTTTCCTTTGCTCATCACCAGATATTTCTATCTCTCTCTTATCATTCAGGGAATCAGGTAGCAAATGAAAACAAACCTATAATAATTAAACTAGTAGTTGTTATGCACCTATTGCATGTCTGTTTAATAGTGCTGAAAAATGGAAGTCTCCAAACATAGCCCAGCCCCCTCCCGATGAAGAGGTGGGCAGTTCAGAATCCTGCAGATCAGCTTGTCCCCACTAAAGAATGCATAATGCGATGATGGTTTCATTTTTATTTGTGCCCAGGATGTGTTACAATTGTAGGAGCAGCAGTTTTTATCCGTGAGACACATATTTCTCATCAACTCTCCAAATTTTCTTGGCTTCTATCTTCCTTCTGTTCAGAACCAATGATCTCAGCTGGGGGACATGTTCTTGCAATGAATCAGTTGTATAATTGCTTTGTTTTTAATTCCAGCTCTGTGTCTCCAGCAGCTTTTTGGCACCATGGAAGTGTTGGGGTGTTTGCTGTAGTCTTTGGCCAGGCAAAAGATAAACCTAATTCCAGAATTCATTACAATGGCTAGAAGTAATTCAACAATTCCCACTTTGCTGTCCAGGGGCCAACTATACAGGAACTCCTAGACAAGGAATCAAAAGGACTAAGGGAACAATGCTGCGGACCACAATGCCTCTGGTACGCCAAATTCTGTTGACATTCCATTGTTTGCCTGATATGGGCCGCTGGCTATCCCAATCTCTGCTCTGTGCCGACTTGACTCTCTTAACTCAGAAAAAAGTTTAGGAAGAAAGTTATTTTTACCTAGCCTAGAGCAGAATATTCTCCTGCCTAAATCTGCTTAAGAACTCTGCACTTTCCCTTCACAGAATTTTGCACACTTATAATGTATTTATTATAGTTACACACAGTGATTTTATTGAATCTACTTGATCTGCTAGAGTGAGATTCAAGAGCGTGTGACTATGTCTATTTGATTTTTTATGATATTCCAAGTGCCTGGCATAGAGTAAATAGTCAGTAAATATTTGTTGGCTAAAAAACCAATCCCTATAAATCCAACTAACTTAGCATTACCAGGATGTAATGCTCCAAGAAGGCAGGCACATGTCTGTCTCGTGCACTCATCTATCTCTGAGAACAATCCCAGGCATGTAATAGACCCTCAGTAAATATTTATATAAATGAGCACTCACAGTGGAGCCGTTAGTAAGCTGAATAACTATTTATTTTAGTTTTTTAATATCAAAACCTATATGAGGTTTGCTTATAATGCTTTTTCCTTTCTGTCTCCTTCCTGTCAATCTCTTTAGAATAAGTTTTCACCGAAGGCTGACCCCCCTCCATGGAGTTTGAGCCACAACCATCATTAAAAGCTATTCCTCCACTCAAGTAATGTATAATCAGCAGATAGACAATTCATCCCCTGTAGCCCCATTTATTTTGCTACATACCACTTTAGACCACTTGTTCCATAGGCATTGCTATCAAATCCAAAAATACATATCATCACTTAGAAACTGATGAGACAGGTAAGAGGGGATGAAAGAAAAGGCAAGCAGACATCACACAGCGTGAACATCTATATACCAGGCTTATTTTGGTGGCAATTTTTCTTTAACTTCACAGCTTTGTAAAGTAAATACTATTATGTCCATTTTGCAGAAATTGCACCTTAGAAATTATGGAACATCTCTCAGATCAAAAACCACTTTCCAATGTTTTAGCGTAAAAATTTTCAATCATAAGGAAAACCTAGATTCCATAATCAACATTTTACTAAGTGTTTTCTTTACCCAGCTATCTCTATATCAACCCCACCATCCAACCACTGATCTATCTTACTTTTTGTGCATGTCAAAGTAATTTGAAATACTTTGGTGTGTGTATCATTAACTGGAGTTCAGAGTTGTTTAAGTTCTTCGTCTTCCTTTGAGACATTTTATGAACAATGAAGTGCACAAATCCTAAGTGTATCACTATATGAGTTCAGAAAAGCTCATACATATGTATAATCCAAATTCCTATTGAGTTAAAAATATCATCATTCCAGAGGGTTCCTTTATGTCTCTTCTGAGTAAATTTCTTCTAGAAACACTGATGTTCTGATGAGTTGCCAGGTTACCTCTGCCTGTTCAGCTTTTCATACAATGGAATCATAGAGTGTGTGCTTTTGTATAAGGCAAAATTTTGAGTTTCATCCATGGTTTTGTGTGAGTTAGTAGTTCATTCTGCTTATATCTAAATAGTATTCCATGGGTGAATATATCAGTTTATTTACCCATTTCCCTACTGATGGACACCTGGGCTGTTTAGTTAGGGCTATTATAAATAAAGCTGTTGTAAGCATTCTTGTGCAAGTCTTTTCACACAACATAACATTTCAAAACACAGCAGTCTAAGTCCACTTGATTCCAAAGTCCACATGTTTTTCACTACACCCTGTTGCTTCTCTGTGGTGCATCCTATTGCACTGTTATGTAAAATGTACCTCCGGAATTTTTTCCCTAAAATGGTTCATTACAGTGTAAACACAATTGGGGATATATGATTTTTAGACCAAAAAAAAAAAATCCAGATACAAATTTAGCTATTTTATTAACCATATTCCAATAAAATACTCATCTTAGTATGATTTTTGGAAGATATTTATTATTTAATGTTTATACTACCTGAATAACTCCTTTCTCTAAAAGTTTTCTTTTTCTCTAAATGTAACTTTTTTTCTCATGTGTAGAATAATACCAATCATAGCATTGATTAAAGCTCCTCAGGTTACAGAAGAAGTTTGCTTAAAATGATTTCTATGTCCACCTGATGTAAAATTATATGGTAAATAAGTAAAAGATAGCAATGTAAGAACCTGTTATTTCTGTTATTTAAATGGGAAAATCAGAGTAGAAAATTGTATGCTGACTACCATTACAATACTTTTTTAAGATCTATGTGCATATTGGTAGAGATTTAGAAGGAAACTTGGAAAATCTGAAAATAATATGTTGCAATAGTAATCTTAGATCACCTTAAGGAATTTAGACCAATCTTAATTATGTGTAAAAAGTATTTTCTTAAAAAAATTGTTTTCTTAATGTTGTGATATTATATATCTAAATATAATTCTGAAAAAAGTTCTTCAAAATTAGGGGTGTCACATACTGTTGTGCAATTTATACACTGCTCAACGATGGGTGGGCCATCCCCATTCATAAGCAGCAGAGGTTGGTTTATTTATTTATAAAACAAATTTTCCAGAAAATAATAGCAAAATCATGAAGGAGGAGAGGCTTTATCTAATTTGCACAAAGGTGCATTTTGCCAACTAATAGGGCTGTTCAAATTATAATCTTCCTTTAAATGGCACTCTCTTGTTTATTAGTTTTGTGAGTTTGTTTCTGGATTGCTTATCTATTTAAAATGAACACCCTTCTCCATTTGATCAACTATGTTTTCAAATAAATTGCTTCTAATTTTTAAATCTTTAGTAC